ATATATATATATATATATATATATATATATATATGTCACTGTGTGTATACGGATTTTTCGGAATTTTTTTACAAATGTCCACGAAAAAAATCGGAGATTTTGTGAAATAATTGACATTGTTTGGGAGCACAACCGGCCGAAAGTTCACCTCAATCGGTCAAGTAGTTTTTGACATACATCATTTCTCGAAAATCTTTTTTGCTTAATATCTCAAAAAGTACGTGACCGAATTAAATTTCTTTGAGGTCAAAATATTCCTTATCATAATACCTATCAAATTAAGTCATAATATTTCTACCTAATCAGGAATAACTTGATAGTAATCGGCATTTTTTATTTTTATCATAAAATCGATAACACTCGAAAAAATTGAGATAGCTGAAATTTGGTACGATTGTAACTCTTATGATACTATAGGCTAGTATTATTGCGGGATGAAATCGGACGAGTAGTTTAGGAAATATTTAACTTTTTGTGAAAATATGTTTTGTTAGATATCTCCTAAACTACTGGTCGGATTACAAAATTTATTTTTCAAAATACTCGTTTCGATGTTCACTATCGAGTTCAATCAAAATATGGATACCAGTTCATACAAAGTTTTCTAGGTATTTGCGTTTTTCTAATTTTTTCATCTCAGAGTTGATTTAATGTTCAATACACGTAGAAGGTGGAAATAGAATTCAAAATTTTGGCTAATAGTACCATTGAGTCACACTAGTGTATAAAATTTTGGGCTAATCGATTCAATACATTTTGGTATAGAGCAATTTATCTGAAAATCGTTTTCGTCAAAAAATCTATTAAAAGGTTGAATACCTTTCTATAGACACCCTGTAACATGCGGTTACAGTTGTATGCAGGGTGGGGTCGTTCACTGAAATCTGGATTTTCTACGGTACATAGTAAAATACTGGTAAATTTATTTCTAAATGAAAATTTATCTCTAAATGGTAAAAAAGGTAAATAACTGGTAGAAAACCCCTTAACCCGACTATAACTGCAGTAATCCTCGTAACTGAATTTCACGAGGGATTATACCTTGCGACGGTCAAACGTCACGAGGGTCATATCTTGCAGGGGTCAAACGTCACGAGGGCCATACCTAGCAATCGTCAAACGTCATGAGGATCATATTTCGCAAAGATGATGCCACACGAGGGTCAAATGTGGCACAGGTTATATCTCGCAAACTTCCTATTAGTGAGGGTCAAACGTCGCAACGGTTATACCTCACACGGGGCCAACGTGGCAAGGTTCAAAGGTTGCAAGGATTATATCTCGCGAGGAACATGTCCTCCGTTAGACCCTTAACGATTTTCCTTTCTGCTCTTTTTGTTTGACCCTCATAATCATGGACCCTTGCGATTGTCTTTCCTGAGAATGTCCTCTGCCTACCTCTGTTGTTTAACTGTTACAACATTTGTATAACCATTGCGATGTTTGACCCTTGTGAGGCATGACCCTTGCAATCCTGTCAACGGGACCGTTCTCGCGCCAGAACAACACACACACATGCACTCACGCACTCACGCACACACGCGGTCAAAAAGCTCTAAAGCCTCCTTGGTGAATTACTGTTTTTTTTTACATGTAGAAAACTTGGTAAAATACCGGTGGTATTTTACTTGCCCAACCTTGCCTGAGACCCCGCAAGACGAAAACCCGTGATGTCACATGTTTTCTTCAGATGTGAAGTTTAAGATTAATAAGTCAGTCCCATCGTGGCAGTTGTTTTGAGAACTTCCGAGGTTCTCTCTCCAATTAGTTTTTCTTCAAAGTTTTCTTAAACTTTTCATAGGTTTCATTCAATTTTGTAGTTCGAAGTTTAAAGTTTATTAAACTTCGAACTTCGAAGTCAAAAGTTCGAGTCAAAAGTTTATTAAATAAAAGTGTTAATGTGCTCTCCTAAGCCTAGTCTGCTGGATTTATTTCAATTAAAACCATTAATCCAATTATCTTGTACTTGGACAAATCAACTCCGATGGAGTCCTCACCAGAGGTTTAGCGGCTAACGGATCAAGGTTCAAAGTTTGGCGCTAAATAATTTTAAGTGCGCCACTGTTCTCCTAGCAACATCGTTGGGGTCTAACAATCTTGTTATGTCCTACCGAAGTAACTAGGAGGACAGTAGCGCCAATGAAATTTAGAGCGCCAATTTTTGACTGTAGATTCGTTTGCCGCCAAAGCTCTGATGAGCACTCCATCGAAGTCCAATTGTTTAATCCCAGAATATTTGGTTGGAAGGGTTGAATTGTGAAATAAATTCAACACAAGTGCTTAAGAGAGCACACAAACACTTTTATTCAAAATACTTCAACTTCAGACTTTAAACTTTGCACTACAAAAAAAATGAATTTAATAAACTCTAGAAAAACTCTACTGAAAAACTATTTGAAGAGAGAAGCTGGAAGCTGAAGGCTTCACCACCAATTTCCACGATGGAACTGACTTAAACTTAAATTTAACTCCAAGGGTTGGGTCCGCAACCCCACCGGACCAAAAGTTGCGCGCGCAATCCTGGCCCAGGGGAGAGGGAAAAGTGAAACTCAAGGAAAAGCGGGGAAATGAAAAAAAAGGGGAAGAAGGGGAGCGTGTGACGTCGTGAAACTTCGTCGCGAAGGGTCTCAGGCCCTCAGCCTAGCGAAACAATGAACAATGGAGAGCCCACACGTGTTAGTCACGTGAAACAGAGAACCTTTCGAAATAACCAGAACTGAGATTTTACGACATGGGACCGTAACCGTTAAATTTATTTTCTTCTCTAAATTTGGATTTTCGAGGAAAGTGTTTACTCAACGAGAATTTGGAGGGTTGTAAATTATAAGAGCAAAACTCAAGTATTTGACATTTACTATTTCCGTAACGGTTTTTCTCACGCTTGCGATGCTGTTTTTCGTTCTCTTTGTCCATTGTATTCCAGACTTTCTTTATTCTTCTATTTCTGGTATATTTTTAATTTCCTGAACTATTTAAATTATTTTCCAACAATAATTTGAATCTCGCGGACTATTATGGCCGATTAATAGCGCCATCTAGAAAATTTCAACGTCAAGACATCACAATCTTTGGTGTAGGAACTTTCTCAGCCGAGTATTTGGCCCCCTCGAGCATCTGAAGTATGGTGAATATGACTGCAACCTAACCAAGAATCACACCTTGAACCGGTTGATTATAACCTTACAACTAACATTCGGAGTAGGAATATTGAATTTTGCATCGTGGAAGATCCTATTTGAAAAATGTTTACGAAACCGCGAACACTGTTGTTCATCATTCGGGGCATGTCGACCGTTACTAAAGATATTGACAATCTAATTAAGGTAAGTTATCGTGTATATCACTGGCGGATAGATGAATGAGCCTGTGTTTTTAGTTGCGAGATTTTATTCTTCCATTACAGCATACCAAAGTGGTTGTATTCATGAAAGGAGTTCCTGATGCGCCTAGATGTGGGTTCAGCAATGCTGTTGTTCAAATTTTGAGAATGCATGGTGTCAAATATGATGCACATGATGTACTTGCTAATGAGGAACTTAGGCAAGGTAAATAAAACGCAATGATAATCAGTTAACCATTGAAGACAATGTACATATTATTATTTATCACCCATTTCATTTAGTTAAGGGGAGACTATTATGAGTTTTAAAAGTCGCGGGCTCTTGGAGTGAGATTTCTCATGTATTGAAAATCAATTATATATGTCTAAAAACGAATAATTAGTGAAAAAAAATTAATTGTTCATTGTTCGTTTTCTCCGTAGACAATTAAAATGTTAAAAATAGTCCAGGGCCTACAATTTTTAAGTCACAGAGGTTTTAAAATTTTTTGAAAAAATCTGTTCAATAATAATTACGAATGAGTTTTTTGAAATTCGACTCCTACCCCTACACAGTTAATTTTGTTTCTCTTTATATAATAAAAAAATTAGGCCAAAAATTCAGGCGAGATTTCGGATTCAGACGACGGTGGTAATGTCGGTTCAGAGTCGGGCCAATGTTGGCCCAGAATTGGACCAATGTCGGCTCAGGGTCGGGACCCCCATCATACAAGAAGGGGCATATATGAGGGAGTTCACCATGATGAGGGGAGTCCCCATCTATAAGGACTTCCATCATACTTTCAGAACTGCTATTTCTGTTGCGTTTAACAAGTTTACCTGACTGGTTTTGTTTTCTCTGTTTTTTTCGTTTTTTTAATAACATTAATATTTTTGTACGCTTATTTTCTGTCGTCTCTTTTGATTCACGTTTCATTAATAAATGTGCACATCCATATGCATTCATTAAAACTTTGGGCGATGCTAGTAAAAGAGACAGAAAAATTATCATTAAAATATCACAAATACATTCTCGATTTTTTCAGAAACATTTTTCGGGCTATTTTACATGAATGGTGCAATTTTTTATTTAAAAAATAACGAAATTAGCTGTGTAGGAGTTGAATTTAAAAAAAATAATTCGTAATTATTATTGCACGTATTTTTTCAGAAATTTTAAAAACCTCTTGCTGAAAAATTGGAGGTCTTAGACTATTTTTAACATTTGAAGCGTCTGTGGGGCAAACGAACAACAAGCAATTAATTTTTTTGCACTAATTATTTATTTTTAGACATATATAATTGATCTTCTTGTATAAGAAATCGCATTCCGATAGCCTGCGACTTTTAAAACTCGTAGTAATCTCCCCTTAATAACCTTCATCACAAATTAATTTTCATCGTATTCAGCGGACAACTGCTTATTATTCATAATGTCATCGTTTTTCCATAAAATTCCATGTAGAGGTTCAATAGGGGTGTAACCACTCGGCAGGAATTGACATCACTCATCTCGATGATTGCTGTTGCAAATATCTTGAGAATAGGTGAACCCTTCAAAGTGAATGTTGTTTTCTTTAGAAGTCTTAGCAGCACATAAAATTTTTCGACAAAATGTCCCTTGACAATTTTCTTTAAAGCTTGATAATTACCAAGGTTATTTTACGATTGGCAATGTGAATATTCTGCCGCCTCCTCATAATCAATTGTTAGATTAGTCCACTAATGACCGATGACAGAAATCATCGATTAAGTTTTTGTAAGAATCTTATTCGGCTATAAAAAGAGTCTTTCGATCGGTTCTCTTGCGAACACTCGTATTTGAGACAATGACTTGATGAACAAAGATTATACATGTTTTATTATTCCGCCAGGTGTCAAGGACTTTTCCAATTGGCCTACGATACCCCAAGTTTTCATGAACGGTGAATTCGTCGGGGGTTGTGATATTCTACTCCAAATGCACCAAAATGGTGAGCTCATCGAGGAACTCAAGAAAATAGGAATTACAAGTGCTCTATTACAAGAAGAACCAAATGAATCCTCTAGTAAACCTGACAAATAAAACTCCTACTGTTATTTATAGATAATTATGTTTAATAGTTATTTTTTATTAAGAATAATAAACGTTTGACTTCTAGAATTGTATTTCGCACTTATAATTCTTTTGCTTCTGAATGGAAGCCTTTTTTTGACTGATTTTTCGTTTTTCTAATTTTGATTGCAAATGTTCTAGAACATTATGAAACGTGAAGAAATGATGTTTTTAGGGTCATGTCTGTATGTATGTATCCGACAACGTGAGTTTTTGGTGATCAATTTTTATAAAATTCAACAAATACGGTGAAATTTGCGGATGAAAATCTGAAATTTTTCCCTTAATGAAGCTATTATTGAGCTTAACTTTGGCACGCTATTTCAGCCCGTTTAACTTGTTTAAATTTCATTTTCCCTCACTATCTCAGCAACTACTGCACCAATTTCGATTCTTTTTTTAGAGAGAAATTTTTTGTATGTCATTATTCGATAGATCCAGGTATGCCAAGTTCATTGGATTTCCAACAGGCACTCGGCCACTTCGCGAAATGAACCAATTTCGCCGAAGTTTTGTGAGCTTGTTCCACGAGAGATCCAATGTTATCAATGACGCCAGCCTATCAGACTCTAGGCGTTATCTCAGCGATCTCGTTATGGCTCCTATTAACAAACCTCGCTGGCTCCTATTAACAAACTAATTTATTCCGAATTTTTAAATTGTTATTTTGAAAAGGAACAATACTTTTTAATCAAACATTCGTGTTTCACATCAGGAATCGTAACCAAATGATCATAAAAATGGAAATCGTCTAGTATCTTGTACGAAGCCTACCAAATCAAAATATTTTTCCCTCTGTGCGCGAGTCAAGTGGGGGATACGTAATTCTCAGAATTTCATTTCCCTACAGTTCCTGTGGTATTTTGTACGAAGATTGGACTGTACAAAGTATCAGAGATATCTCCGTTTTTTTGTTTTTAAAATTTTTTCATTCGTGTACGCACGATAACTTGAAAAAAAAATGGGGATAGTAAGTTGAAATTTGGTATGATTATAGCTCTTACAATACTGAAGGTTGGTATTTTAGATATGTGCAACCGGCCGAGCAGTTTCAGTGACATTTAACCTTTTGTATAAATCTTATTCATTAAAAGGTTGAATATTTTTCCCCACCAAAATTGGATTTGATGCCGCTTTTCAGAGAATAACTACTGAATTTTTTTATTTTATTATAAGAATAGCTACTTAATTATTTATGAAATTTCATGTTTCCTTCTAACGAAGTGTTAGACCAGTAGCGAAATAATGAAACGACCCAAAATCAACTCAAATATCTTTGAATCGAAGAGAAATAGCGAAATTTATCTGGATAATTTTTTGTAGCTCTCATCGCACTTCATAAAGAATCTTCGGATGAATTTTGGTACTTCTGTTAGATTCGGAGATATTTTCGGAAACTGACGCGAACGAAAAAGTTTTATTGAAAAATCTAGCCAATTCGCTAGACATCTCGATTAAATTTCTATCGAACTATTTATAAGTCTTGAACAATTTCAGTCTACAGAATTCTATAGAAAATATCTCAATATAATAGATTGTATAGAAAAATATAATTCTATTGATTCTTCTCTAGGAATGCAATAGACATTCAATATAATTCTAGTGAATTCTCTGGGGTATAAAAAATTATTTCTATAAAATTATTTCATACGTGGACCACGGGGTGAAATTGACATAAACCGTTTGACCTTTCCATCACTGATAAGGTATATGTTATATATATAATTCACTAATTCATGAACAAAACAAGGCTCAGTATGAAGTTGCTAACAGAATTTGTCTTAATTGTCCTGGTTGGTTTCTGCAATCCAATACTATGTCGAGGAGATGCAAGAATTCAATCGATTCTTTTTACTACGTATGTGCGAAATTTACACTTGCATCTTAAAGGAGGTATTTCACAACTGGTTTGAGAGAAGCCTATGAAAAGGTTTTCAATCGAAAAATTATCAATCTCAACAAACCATCGACTTCAAGCAAATGCTGCACCAATTGCCGATCAAAGTTACAGCCGTCAATTCAAGAGAAGAAATTGAGGCTCCAATTCAATGTCCCAGCTACATGGCGTGAGCAGAGTGAGCATCTTACAGATTGTTATTTCTGCTTGACAGATATACATGGATACTCCAGGAATAACAAGAACCACATCAAGTACCCAATCGTTCGTTCTGTTGATCCTCCTTCTTCTCTTGATGTCCCTTTAAAGTTCACCCCATCTGATAAGATGACGATTTTCCTACAAAACGAACTGGAGAAGTAGAAAGTTTTCAAGAAGATCCGTCATCTGATATCCCTGATGATGCTGAATACCAAGTCTCGGAGCCACCTCCTCTTGGTACTCATGATAGATGAATCAAGGAGAACTAAATGATTTTGCGAGATGCATGGGTTTATCAATAGAGCAATTAGAACGTCTGGTGTCACGACTGAAAGAACACAATTTCTTGTATTCTGACGTACGAACAACTCATTTTCGCCATCGAAACGAAAAATTCCAATAGTTTTTCTGTGATCCTCGCCTATTGCCATGACGTGGATGGTTTGATGAAGACCCTAGGAGTCACACATAACCCAGAGCATTGGCGTCTCTTCATCGATGGTTCTTCGAGTAGCCTGAAAGCTGTGCTTCTTCACAATGGAAACATCTACCCCTCGGTACTCATTGGTTACTCCAGATCATTGAAAGAAACTCATGACAATATAAAATTTCTTTTGGACAAGATCAATCATAATCAGCACAAATGGCGGGTCTGTGCAGATCTCAAAATGGTTACCCTCATCTTGGGGATGCAAACTGGTTATACCAAATACTGCTGCTTTCTATGTCAATGGGACAGTAGAGATAGGGAGAATCACTATTCTACGACAAACTGGGCTTCACGTGAAAGCTTCACTCCAGGTCAGCGGAACATCCTTCAAACTGAACTTGCTAAACCAGAGAAGGTTTGTTTACCCCCTCTGCACATAAAACTCGGGTTGGTGAAGAATTTCGTGAAAGGGCTAAAAAAAACGGGTCAGCTTTCACCTATCTTAAAGAGCTGTTCCCGAAACTGAGTGAGGCAAAAATAAAGGAGGGAGTTTTCGTGGGCCCCCAAATACGAAGGCTGATTAAAAACGATGCAGATTTTGAGAAGACACTGAGTAAAATTGAACGACAAACATGGCGTTCTTTGAAACGGGTTATCCAGGAGTTCCTCGGCAGCTATCGCTCACCAGAGTACCGGAAACTTGTCAAGGATATGTTGAAAAATTACCGTACAATGGGCTGTAATATGTCTCTCAAAGTTCACTTTTTGCATGATCACTTGGATTTCTTCCCAGAGAATCTCACGGACTTCAGCGACGAGCACGGAAAACGTTTCCATCAGGACATCGCGAAGCTGGAGCGGTGATGCCAATGGAAAAATCAAATAAAAATGTTGGGAGAGTATTTCTGGAATTCAATGAGTCATGACACCCTGGGATGCAAGCAGCCACTTAAGTTAGGTGGCTGTTAGGTGGCTACTTGTTTAGGTGTAAAAAAGGGTAAGTGATACCTGAAACGATTATGGATGTAAATCTATGAATTATTAAGGAATTTTAGTAGCTTTAATGACATTAATCTCCATTAATTAAGGAAAATAACAGTTTGCGTATTGAAAGGGAAAATAAATCAGTAGGGGGAACGCCGCCGGATGGCGGTAGTGTCGACTTCTCGCCCAGGCCGATAAAGNCGTAGGAGGAGAATGCTGCGAGTCGAATAGGGGCGAAGAGGGGCATCACATAATTAGATAAATAAAATAATGGAATCTAAAAATTTTGAACTTTGTGAGAAGTGGGGG